CTCCTTACTCAGACCTGCCACACGCGTCTGTCTCTCCGGCCCTTGGCCGAGCCTGGGGGAGGGGGCTGGGGCCTGCACTGTCGGAACTCGCGCCTCCGGGCCGAGCCCCCTGGCCGAGGCGCACACACGCTCCAGCGCGCGCACACACCTCGGACATTCCCATAGTGCCTCACGTGACACTCGGCCCGAACGTGCCCACCCAGCCCACACGCTCACGCACGCGTGCTCACACGCGCGCACACTGCCCCTGGCCGCTTCCGAACTCCGCGCTGCTGACCCCCGTCCTCCGCCCCGCCAAGGCGCTCATTGACGGCGGCACACCTACACTCATTCACAGACACACACTCCCCCCCACATGCCAGCCACAGCCACAGCCACACATTCATAAACAGGGCCGGGAGAAGTACACGCGCACCCCCTCGCTGCCTACTCGTTTGGGAGCCCTGAGTCATTCCTGCCCCCTCCCAGGGCTCCCCATTTCCCTAAGGGCAGGCACAGTGGGACAGGCTGGAGTCTCCTTTAGTGGTCCTCATTCCCCGAGGCCCCCTGGCCCAGTTTGCTGCCTCTGACACTCGGCCAAGGACTTCCTGTAGGTCCCAGGTCAGGGGCCGCCTGCGCCTGGATGGTTGCCACAGCCCCGGTGCAGTTAGGGAGGCACTTCCTTTTCCTGAACTCTGGGATCCTGCGGGAGGAAGTTGGGCGGGGGCCGCGGAGGCCAGGCTGACTGGTGGGACTGGCCCTCCTTAGGAGCAGGCGACAGAGGCCTGGGATGGCGGCTGTCGAGGTATTTGGGAAACCGGAGGTCTGGGGAGGAGATGAAGCTAAGCAGTCCAGGCAGGTTCTGGGCTGTGCCAGTGCTGGGACAGCAGGCCCCATCCACAGGTCTCTCTGGGTTCTGGAAGGAGCCCTTCCCTGCCACTGTAGCTTCCTTGATCCTGTTTATCAGTTGTCCCCCGAGTCAACTCTTGAGGTCCATCTGGGGCCATTTCCTACCCCTACAAGCAGTGACAGCAGAGGACGGATGCCACCTGCTGAGGGAGAGGGTGGTATGGGGGATCTGGTCTCCCAGCTGAAGCTCTGCAGCTACCACAGGGTCCTCAGACCAGCATGGGGAGTTGGGGACAAGCGCCAGGCAGTCCTCTTCATGCTGTTCCTGCTCTCTCAGGAGGCCCAGTGTGGGCTGAAGCTCTTACCATGGAGTCCATGTTTGAAGATGACATCAGCATCCTGACCCAAGAAGCTTTGGGTCCCAGTGAGGTGTGGCTGGATGGTCCTGGAGACTCCTCTCTTGGAGGCGACATGTGTTCTGCCTCCCACTTTGCTCTCATCACGGCCTATGGAGATATCAAGGAGCGGTTAGGGGGTCTGGAGAGAGAGAATGCCACCCTCCGCCGTCGCCTCAAAGTCTATGAGATCAAGGTCAGAACCTGGATGGGATGGGCAGTTGTGTAGTAATGTTGCAAGGGTGGGAGGGTGCCCAAGAGACCCCAAGGATCCACAGAAGTCGTTAGAAGTGTAGGCTCATCCTTGAAGAAGTGGTTACCTATGTGGGTGTGTGGGTGCCACTGCTCCCGCAGAGGATGGGGGTGGGGAGAGTTCACCTTTGGAGTGGTGGGTCCCTTTGGAGAGGGCAGGGATAGAAGTCTCTGAAGCAGGTTGTAGGGTTGGGGCACAGAGTGGTCATTGGGTGGGGGCCAGGCTTCTCTGAGGGCTGCCCTTCCACAGTACCCGCTGATCACTGATTTTGGAGAGGAGCATGGCTTCCCTTTGTGTGAAATCAAGGATGGCTCCCTGCTGGAGCTAGAGAAGGTCAGTCTGCAGCAGCGGTTCAACCAGTTCCAACATGAGGTAAGTCCTTGGTCTGAGCTTCCCAGCCAGCCCAGCTCCTTAAGCTTCCTGCCTTCATCTGTTCCTGATGCCAGTCACCTCGCCTGGTCCCCATCATGGCCTTGGATTAGAGGTGGCCACTGCCCTCCCTGAAGCAGCTTCAGCTCTCCCTATTCTATTGGGAATGGGGTTGGGGAGGTTCGTGGAGCCCCTCTGACCCTGGCACACCTCTCCGGGCCTACCCAGTTGCAGAAGAATAAGGAGCAGGAAGAACAGCTCGGGGAGATGATCCAGGCTTACGAGAAACTCTGTGTGGAGAAAAACGACTTGGAGACAGAGCTGGGGGAGATGGTGAGGCCCGGAGAGTGGGGGTGAGGTATTCGTGTACCTGATAGTGTGTGATTCTGTGTGAGTATTCCAGCCCTATGATTGTGTGTGGCCCTGCATGTCACACACGCCATGCTTGTGTGCATACCACCCGTGTCCATGTGTATCTATCTGTGAATGCCTGCTTTGCTTTTTGAGTGACACAGTGTCATCCAGGTCATGGGTGACTCTGTCCTCTTGGCTATGCAGTGACCCTGTAGGAAACCTGCAGTACTGTGCTTGGGGGCGGGGCGGGGGTGACAGGAGAGTTGTCCAGAACTCTAGCGGTAGATCTTACCATGAGTGTGATGAGAGTTAGCAGTGGCCATTTGTGTGAGTGTGTGGGCAGATGGCAGGATCAGGAGACAAGGTCTCTGTCAACTCCTCACTGTGACCTTGGTTAAATTATTTAGCTTCCATCCCTCATCTGAAAAGCAGGGTAAATGGTAACCATCTCACTGAGCTGCTGTGAGGGTAATGGGACATTTGTGTAAAACCATTTTCCTTTTATAGTCAGAAACGCTTGTGAGGCACTTGCTGCATGCCAGGCACTGTTCTTATCCTCTACGCACACTTACTCATTTTAGCTCTCACAACAATCAAAAGAGGTAGGCGTGATACTGCTATCCCCATTTTGTACATGAGGTAGACGAAGCCCAGAAGTGGTTTAAGTCATTTATGCAAATGGAAGTTATGTTTCTGAGGGGGTGGGGTGGCTGGACCTAGAGCTGAATGTTTGTATAAATGTCCCTGTGTGATAATGACAGAAGAGGACTGACTCTGACCTTGACAGCAACAGTAGCCAGAAACATCTGCATTGCAGGTGCTGGGAGAGGAGGCCACACACCTGTGGCCACTTGGAGTGAGTGAGGAACACTCCAGCAGGCTCTATTCCAGCCTGGGGGACTCTTGGGTCTGGGAGTTCATGGGGCTCCCTGCCCTGTGTAGACGCTGAGCCCTCTGTCTTTCCCTGTAGCGGGCCCTGGTGGAGACCCACTTGCGGCAGATCTGTGGTTTGGAGCAGCAGCTGCAGCAACAGCAAGGCCTCCGGGATGCAGCCTTCCCAAGCCTGAGCCCCCCACCTGCCCCCGCCACACCCTGTCCTGACCTGGACCTGCACTATCTGGCTTTGAGAGGGGGAACTGCTTTGGGTCATGGTAACTCCCATCTTAGTATCACTGGGCACCTCTGGCTTGCCTAAAGTCTCAGCACATTTGTTTGTTTGTTTGTTTGAGGTCTTACTATATAGCCCTAGTTGGTCTGGAATTTACTGTGTACACCAGGCTATCCTGGGACTTGGAATGATACTCCTCATTCTGCCTCCCTGGCATTGGGATTTCGATCATGTGACCCCATATCTGGCTCCTTCCAATATCTTAAAGTTGTTCAAAATTATTCCATACTCCTCTCCAACTGTTCTTTCACCTCAACCACCCTTTTTTACAAATTCTCCCACTGACATCCTTTTGCTATTCAGATCATACAATTCTTAGGGTATGCCAGCAGAGGGCGTACCCACGCAGAGTCCCCTGAGGCTGTGATTACAAGAGGCCCCTGAGGATGCTCCAGACTTCTGGTTCTAGCCTGAGCTACCTTCCAGAGGCCATCTTATCTCCCCACCACCCTGTGGCCTACAGGAGGATAGAATCTGCATCTGGCCCATCCTTATTTCCCTTGTAATAGCATCTCTCATCCTTGGGTGTTTGACTTTCTGGCCTCTCTTGGCACCGAGGGCTGAGTTCTTACTCTACCTGTTTCACTTCGTGTGGATCTGGGAGTCAGTGGAGGCAGCTAGAGCCTACCTGACATTGTCTTGTCTCCTGACAGCAGGTTGGCCTGGCCCTACTAGCGTAAGTGTAAGCGAGCTGGAGCGGAGACAGCTGGAAGAAGCCCTGGAGGCTGCGCAGGGGGAGGCTCGGGGGGCTCAGCTGCGGGAAGAGCAACTCCAGGCTGAATGTGAGAGGCTACAGGGAGAGCTGAAGCAGCTGCAGGAGACCCGGGCCCAGGTAAAGGTGACTTTGGAGCTGCCTTAGATGTGCAGAGTGTAGAATTGCAGAGGCGGGGCGAGGAGAGAGGGGAGGCCGGGCTCTGACCTTTACTTTTCTCCTCAGGATCTGGCCTCCAACCAGTCGGAATGTGACATGGCTTGGGTAAAGAGAGTTGGGGATGATCAGTAAGTCACATCTGTAACCCTTGCCCTCTTAACCCCATGTGCTTTCCATCTGCCCACATTATTTGAGTGACCTCTCTTCCTAGGTCTAGTGGTGTGGTGTCTGGGTTGCTTACACTCTGCCCCTGTTACAGGAAGCAGGGAGGGGGCTCTGGAGTATTCAGGTTCTGGGATCGGACTGGGGATGCACTCGGTGGCTTGTTCTGTGTTCCCTGGTGCGTTTTATGTACCAGAAACAAGATTTAGAGGCTGAGTACATCCACTCTACCTTGTGAGGAGGGAGACAGCATCCCTCGTTTAGGATTTGTCCTGCCTTGTCTGTTTATTGAGAGGGAGGAGTCCTTGAGTAGAGTAGAATCCTGGAGGAGACAGGGCTAGAAAGTAGGGAAGAAGCTGTGTGTGGCTGGAGGGGGCGTGACAGTGGGGTCTTGGGATGCACTGGCAGCAAGGGTGGTGAGCAGCAACAGTGGCCTTGGCATCTTTCACAGCTGTCCTGGTCTTATCCTCACCCACTTCTTTTTTTAAAAAAATTATTTATTTAACTTTTATTTGATTTTATGTGCATTGGCGTCAGATCCCCTAGAACTGGAGTTATAGACAGTTGTGAGCTACCATGTGGGTGCTGGGAATTGAACCCGGGTTCATCTGGAAGAGCAAGCAGTGCTCTTAACTACTAAGCTATCTCTCCAGCCCCCCTCACCCACTTCTAGAAACACTGCTTAAACCTCCTTTTGCTTAATTCCTCTCTGGGGAGATGAGGCTAATGGTAGAAGCTTTACACATTCCTTACCAGGGAAGACTGAGGCCCGAGAGGGGCAGGAATTAACCTTCCCTCACAGGGCATACCCAGTTCCCAGGATCCCAGGGATCCTTCCTCTCAACAGGTTTCCTTGGCATCCTACCCACTTCTGGCCAGCTAGGGGTACCCTTTGCTTCCTTTCCCACCCTGGGGTGAGGGCTTGGGTGGAGCTGTGATAGCCGAGAGGGTGAGAACCTAGTTTGTGGGGCTGATGGGTGGGAGACCCCTCCCTCAGCTGGGCGTCTGTGGAGGATGGGAGGGAGCTTTGCGGAAAGGGTCCGCCCTAGCTTGTGGCTGGGCCTCTGGGACCATGGTAGCCCATATGTTCAGACTGGAGCACACACATACAGTAGGTCCTTGCTGAGCGCCAGAGGTCCTCTTAGGGGTCGGTGAATCCAACCCTTCTTATTGTGAAAGTTCCTGCACTTAGTGGCGACTTCGGCAGGGCTGGATCACAGAACTCTTCCTGAGCTGGGGACAGGCCTTGCTTTCCTGACTTTCCCTTTGCCCCTCTGGACCCTGGGCTCCTCTCCTGGGCTCAAGAGTCAGCCTTTGAGGATGTGAGGAGGAGGTGAGGTAAAACATGGGAAGTGCAGAGAGAGTGGTGGACCCTCCGGGGGTCAGGGCCCCATCTCAGGTGTTTTTGGAGGCTGTATCATCCATATTGCTTGTTCTGGCCAAACCAGCCACTTCCTTGCCAACCCAAGGGAGCTGGCTGAGGAAATTCTCCCAAAGTGCAGTGGGCTCCTCCAAGACCTGTTTGTGGCTTGTACAGGCCTCCTGGATCTCTGTCAGCCAGGCAGGCCCTGCCTGCTCTTTCCTTTCCTTTAGTCAAAATGCTTCTAGACAGCCCCAGTGTGGCAGGATCAATTCTCAGAGGAAGTCCTTATTCCCCTGGTAGTTTTATTTTCTTATAAACTCAGCCTTTTTGGTATTGGCAATTCCCTGGGGCTCTCTCCCATCTTCCACCTAAGGGTGGCTCAGACTCTCTTTTCAGCTCCAGGATCAGCAACTCCCTCTTCTATCTACTTCTGCTGAGTCCATATCAAGTGGGAATTTTATTTATGGGCTTTCCTGGGAATGAAATACTGGCACTAAATTATCTGGGGGAAGAGGGCAGTTCCTGAGTCCACTTCCTCTAGGAATTAATCTCATCTTGAAAGGTGCCTTCAGTCTCACTTGTTCGCTGGGGCAGCCAAATTGATCTCAGGGATCCTCCATTAAAATATCTCCCTTACACCCATCTTGGCTGAATGGACTCCATCCTGGTGCTATCTGTGCCTAGGAGCAGGCCTTGGAGGCTGCAGTCCCTTGTTCTTAGCTCCTGGCCCACAAACTCTAACCACTCATGATTCACAGCAAGCAGGACTGACATCAGACCAGACAGATCAGGCTGCTATTCTTCAGGTCTGACCCATGGGTGGACTCTTTTGGATAGCTTGCTTCCTGAAGGTGGTCATAGCTTGGGAGGGGCCAAATGGCCCTAGAGGGAGAGCAATGAAGAGAGAAGAGGTTGGAGGAGGCAGTGGAGTTCTCTGAGCTTGTAAGAATGATCAGAAAGTTAAGGACCTAGGAAGGTTCCAGCCAAGGTGACATGTGCAGGAACCCCAGAGACCCCTCCCCTGGCCTGTGGATTCCTGGGTGGGATTGTTTGAAAGTATGACCAGTGCTGGGGACTAGAGAAATTTGAGAGTCACTGCCTGAGGGAGAGAAGACTCCAAGCAGATAGAGGCTCTGGAAGGCAGATGGGGTCTTATTAGTGAGGGGGCCCAGTAAAAAGAGGGGGAAACCATAAATTATAGGCCTTTCTTTTTTCCTAGTGTGGGGGGCTCAGGGTTGCAACCTGGGACCTTTTCCGCCCACCCCTCCCACCCCCTCTCTCCACCCACAAGCCTCTGCGTGGGCTGTGGTTAGTGGTGGGGAAGTGTGAACTCAGAAGAGAGAGGATGGAAACTCTGCACAGAGGTCAAGGGCAGTGTGGGGTGGGTCAGGACGGAAGTCGGAGACCCCCATGTACTCTGAGCCTAGCCTCCTGCCCCCAGAACCAGCAGGCCCAGGGCCTCCTCCTTCAGGGTTCTCACCCTCCCTACTTCCTTTCCTTTTAGTCTCCTTCAGCTTGATACCCAGAGCGCAAAGGATTAACCCCTGAGCACTTGCAGCTGCAGGGCACCCGGAGGGTGGGCATGGCTCTGCTGGTCTGAGGGATTGCAGGTTTTGAAGGCATTTCCAGCTTTGTGCCCAGAGCTGGGCCCAGAGCTGAGAGCTGCTCTTGTCATCATTCTCCCATAGAAGACAGGAGCACCGTCCCCTCTCTCATCACCAAGTGGTTTTTGTTGTTGTTTGTCTGAATTTTGGTTTGGTTCTTGCTTTTTAAGATGGAGCACGTCGCCCAGGCTGCCTTGAACTTACTATGTAGCCACGGATGACCTTAAAGTCCTGTTCTCCTGCTTCTACCTCCCATGTGCAAACATTACAGCATGTATTACCAGCTTAGTTTTTTTGTTTGTTTAGTTGGTTGGTTTTTCTTTTCTAGACAGGGTCATACTATGTATCTCTGACTGTCCTGGAGCTCACTATGTAGACCAGGCTAGACTAGAACTCACAGAGATCTGCTTGCCTCTGCATCCTGAGTGCTATGTAGCCCTAGCTGTCCTTTGACTTATGGTGGTCCTCCTGCCTCTCCTTCCCAAGTGCTAGGATTATAGACTTGAGCCTGCACATCCAGCATACTAAATAAATCTTAAGTCAGAATCTTAAAACAAAACGCCCAAGCCCCAAAGTGGGCTTTCTCATGTCCACATCACTCTCATAAACATGAGGCATTAAGACGATCAGGAACAAGGGAAGGGCAGTTCAGGCGGGTCCTAGCAAGCAGAGCCTCACTGTTTGCCTACTCAGGTGGTTGGTTCTGTAGGTAGGAGGCCTTTTATAAGAGGGTGACCATGTGATTTGTTGACCAAATTGCATCACTTTTGAAAGTGAAAGGGGACACTATTAATTATGCAACTAGTGTGAGCAGGGACAGGCCTGGGCAAACAAGGGCCCCTGGTTCCTATCCAACTGTGAGCTGCTCAATCCCCTGTGTTTAGGGAAGCTTCTGGACACACAGCCATCTGGTTCTGCCTGGTAGAGGCTGCCATGAAGAGCTCAGGTCTGGGGACCACAAGTCATAGCTGGTCGAGGAGCATGAAGGGCTCAAGGCTCCGGAAAGGAAGTGGTGGAGCACTGGCTTGTTGCAAAGCGACTTCCTCCTCCGCCAGCCCGCAACCTCAAGTCCGCTCCACGGCCTGATGCCTGTGGTCCCCTCCCTGAGGGTCTGGCAGGCGGGAAGACTGATGCTGGGTGTGCCTGTGGGTGGGTGGAAAGTTTGGCCCCTAAATTCCCCTGCTGGGTGGGGTGGCTGGGGCACCTTGGGGCAGCCAGGGGTAAGGATGGAAGGGCTGGGAATGCTGGGTTTCTGATTTTCTCCTGGGTCTACATCAGATGACAGTCCTGTTCTGACCACAGGACAGCTATAGTCCTTTTCTCTCCCTAGCCCTTACCCCTAATCCTGATCCCCAACTGTGTCCATAATCATAGCCACAGAGGAACTACCAGCCCCTTGTCTATCCCAGTTTTCATCCTAACTTGAAGCCAGTCTCCAAGTCTGGCTGGCCTGAGTCCTGACTTCTCCCTGCACTGATACAAAGGGGCTAGGGTTGGGGGATGTTTTTGTGGCTCCCAAGCTCCTTTAAGGCAGAGAAAGGCTTTGGAGAGGAAGCTCAGGTCTTTGACTTTCCTGGATTGCAGTTGCTTTATTAGTGACAGTGAAGACAGTTGCTTCCAGGAGGGACTGGTGGGAAGGAGGAATGAAAGGCCAAGTCAAGGAAGAGTAGAAGCCCTCTTGCCTGCCTGCCTGCTCTTCCCATTTGTACTCCGGCTTCTCTAAAGACGCCAACCTAGTGGGCTGAGGTGCTGAGAGCAAGTGTTGAATCACTGCTCTGCGCCACCGCTGCTACACAACCTCAAACTAGCTCCTAATCACTCTGCTCTTCCACCCCCTTGTATGTCTGTCACCCTCTTCTTTCTTCCCAGGGTTGGAGTGGTTCTCTGAACTCCTGGGCTGCCTCCAAGATCCTCAGCCTCTTCCTCCTCCTCCTTCTCTTCTACGTTCCCACCATATTTTCTCCCACCTTCTTGAGGTGTGGGTGGTATATGTGTAATGCTTAGGAGCTGGGACTTTGGAATCTTGGAGGCTGGTGCTCTTCTCCCAGCCTTAGGACATGGCTGGGTGGCTTTACCTCTGTGGACCCATCTTCTTACTAGTGAGGTTGATTGGCATAGGGTAGTCATGAAGATAAATGAAGTTACGATCAGCATTTGTAACTGCCTGGGCCAGTATGTACTGCTGCTCATATGGTCTGTTCTTCCTCAAGTCATGATGGTGGAAAAACCTCTCAGGTGTGGCCAGGAAGTCAGGAAGCAGTGTGTATTTAGATGCATGTTTGGTTCAGTCTATTTGGTGTTCTGTAGGCTTCTTGTACTTTCATTGGGAAGTCTTTCTTTATGTGGGGGAAGTTTTCTTCTATGATTTTGTTGAATATGTTTTCTGCACCTTTGAGTTGGGTTTCTACACCTTCTTCTTTACCTTTTCTTCACCTTCTTCTATACCTATTATTCTTAGGTTTGGTCTTTTTCACATTATCCCATATTTCCTGGATATTTTGTGTTAGGGATTTGGTGGACTTAAGTTTTCTTTGGTTGTTGAGTCTATTTCTCCTAGTGTGTCTTCAACTCCTGAGATTCTCTCTTCCATCTCTTGTATTCTATTGGTTATGCTTGTGTCTGTAGTTCCTGATCATTTACCCAGTTTTTTTTTTTTTTTTTTTTTTCCACTGAATTGGCAGTGTTTTCAGTGAGTCATTTTGATGCTGAGCATGTGTGTGCGGAGAGAGAAGCCCAGAGAAAGGGCATGTCCCTTAGGACTGTGAGATGGCAGGAGGAGGTCAGAGCTTCTCATTCTGTCCAGGGTCTCAGAGGTGTTTGTGAGGGTGGCCTGGTGCTCTTGGAAGACCGTATCAGTTTGCTCCAGGGCCCCAGTGTCAGCTTGGAAAGGGGCTGAGCACACTGAGGTAAGGGCTTCTTCTTTCCATTTCTTGAAGTGCCATCTTTTTCACCCCAAGGAGAGTGCCAGGCACTGGGCTGTGGAAACTAGGGTGGCTCCTGACTATGAGAGAGCCAGCAGGGGAGAAAGGGACCTGGGGGACTGAATGTGACAGGTGAGATCTCCCAGGCAGAGTGTGAAAGAGACGACCTGTATCTGTCGCCTGAGATACAGCAGGCAATGTGGATGAGGAAAGCAACTGTGCTCAGTGGACGGAGGTGACACTCCATAACTGCACTGTCCAGAGTGCCCCCTGGCTCCCACTGCTCAGCAGACAGCATGATCCTGTTCCCCAGGGACCCCCATCTGACTAGGAGCACACAGCTCCTGCTCTCAGATTGCTTTCAGTCTAAAAGCAGAAGCTTCCCTGGAGGGCCCCTGGTTTGCTGTGGGACACGCCAGGACTTCCCAGTCTCATAGGAAGATGCCATTTCTTCCCACCAACTTGTGGGATGAAGGAGGTGGAGCAGAGACTGCATTTCACAGACATGTGGCCTGAGATATGATGGAATGGTGGCCATGGAGCCTGAGTCAGGTTTCCCTGGACAACTCCTGTCTTGGAAGATAGGTGGTGAGGCCTGGTTTTCCCTAAGAAGTGGGCTTAGCTTCCAGATGCCTTATTATAATTGGGCTAAAAGTAGTTTTACTCTGTGACCCCCCTATTGGTAAGAGTGGCAGCCCATGAGCCAGAGTGGGGAGCACAGTCATTATCTGTTCTCTGCAGCCCCAGCTTGACGCCTCTGCTCTCCTGACAGGCACACTCCCTGCTTCACACCTTGGCTTCACATATCCCCAGCCACCTGCCCTTACTGGTCTGGAGCTCCTCTAGGAGCTCTCACCCTGGAAGGAGATTGACCCTGAACAGCGTCTGTTACTTCCCTAAAGTCCCAGCTGCTGAAATCCCAGAGTCCCTTCTGGTACTGTAGAGGTGGGAGAGCTAAGGAAAGTCAAGCCCTTGCCTTCAGGGCTCTCAGGCCTGCCCAAGCCCTGGATGCAGGTGTGGGCAGGTCCAAAGGCTATCGTGGAGCTCCTGTGAGATCAGAATCACTCCTGGGGTAAGGCAGCAGATCACAGGGAGAAAGAGGAGCAGTGCTGGGGTGATAACTTCCATGGTTGTGTTTGGGGGTGACCAGGAGGAAGGAAGGGGTCCTTTGATAAGCTCCATGAGAGTGGGTGTTGAAGAGGCCTAATTTTCAGGAAGTGAACAAGAAAAAAGAACTGGATAGAAGCCATTTCTGAACCTAGTAACCAGCCTTGAACAAAGAGCTGAGACTAGAAATACAATGATATAGTTCCCAATTAAAGCCCACAGCAAGGCAGCCTTTGAGAAATGCTCAGTCTGGGTGCCATGCCCTGCAGGTGGGCAGTGCCCGGCAGCTGCTCAGAGGTATATGGAAAGGGCAGGGCAGATGTGTACAGTGAGATCCTGAGAGGTATGAGGCTAGTAGCATAAAGGAAGCTTTTAGGTAGTGACCAGAGCGGTGGGCCTGGAATGGGGCCAACTTGGAGGGGCGCTAATCCACCTCTGCCTGCCAGGAGCGGGGTGTTTCCTAAGGAATAGCTTCATCACAGCCTGTGCAGAATTGGTGGCTAGTGTTTTCAAGCTTCAGGATGTTTTTTTATGGGTTCCCCTCCCCCAGGACGCAGATCGTCTGTTTATGGTACTGGATATTGGGTATTACAATTTTGGGATTGTGGCCAGTATTGAACCCAGAATCTCACACTTGCTAGGCAAGTGTTCTACCAGAGTTACATTTTGCTTTATATTTTGAGACAGGATCTCACCAAGCTAACCCTGAACCTGTTCTGTATCCCAGGCAGTCAGTGCTTCAGCTGCTGCATCAGCTTCCTGCACAGCAGGGATTGTGGCCTTGTCACCAGGAGCCTGTGCTAGTATGCACTCTGAGAAAATGTGCGCTGTAACTTCAGTATGTGGCCTTCTTAGGGACCTATTCTGTCGTGGCAGCAGTTTCTGCACCAATTAGGGAAACATTCATACCACCTGTGTGAGCTACAGTCAACCCCCAAAATGGGATTCAGGGACCTCCTTGGAATCTCTCTATTCCACATCCTTGCCCTAGGCGGGGAACCTCTGCTCCAGTGTGGGGAACGGTCTCTGGAAGCAGGGGGAGGCTCCCCAGAAGAGGTGGCTGTTGAGGTGGACCTTAAAGGCAGAGAGAGAGGATCCCTACAGCTGGGGTAGGTGCGAAAGATGCAAGGCAGAGCGGGTTCTTTTCTATGGCTGGGGCAGAAGAACCACATCCCTTTTCTTCCCCACCCCTTGCCCTCTGACCTCAGGGTGAACTTGGCGCTGGCTTACACAGAACTGACAGAAGAGCTGGGTCGGCTTCGGGAGTTGAGTTCCCTGCAGGGGAGGATCTTGAGGACTTTGCTGCAGGAACAGGCCCGGAACGCAGGTGAGACTACCAGAGCCGGGCAGGCCCCCAGTGTGGGGAGCAGGGGCACTGGGCCCGGGAGCCACCTCCAGCTCCCTGGGTGGGCATTGTCCCCGCAAGTCCCCGGCTGACACTCCATCCGGCTTTCTCTTTCCCAGGCCAAAGGCACTCGCCGCTGTCGCAGCGCCA